GGGAAAGTGGAGGCGAGAGAAGAATGGGTTTAAGAAAGAAATGATCAACAGAGAGGAAAGTGTTATAAAGAAGCCCGTACGGTAAGAATTAAAAAGTATACATCGTATTTAGCTACAAAAAGGTAGTTGATGACTCAACAAAAAGTTTCCATAGAGTAACGTGTTATATTAATCTCATGTCTGACGACGTAGATTTGGGATATTTCACTAACGTGGAAGCATCATATCACATCATATCATAGAGTACACAAGAGATGAAAGTGTTCAAATACCTTCTCCCAAATATATTTAATGTAACTAACAAAAAATAGGCCATTAAATAGGCATTTATACTGGCTTAGAAGAGACAAAAAAAATTTCAGAGGGAAATTATAACTCTTCAACAATATTCCTGTGTCAACTACAAGTGCTCAACATGAAATGTATGATGAAGTAATTTTCCTTTGTACCAAGAGGATCTCAAAACCTTGCTAAACTAAGTAATAATCAGAACACATCTTTTTCAGTCATATATTGTTTAACTGAAATTCTTTCTTTAGAAGATAATTAAAAATAATTCCTTAAATTTCAAAACTATTTTGATAAGCCTCATCTTACACTCTTGTTTCACAACTACTGATCACCCTAAAATGCAAAAGCCACCACCCATGTCTAGTCCATCCAGATTATTTGAGTTTGTCTCCAATAGCAGGTGTCTGATACTTTTTCATGAAGCTTCAGACAGAAGCCAGAGAATACTTTTACGAAAGAAGTATTTACGAAAGAAGGCAAGTACCATGATGTAGTAGATGATGGTTAAACGACAAATTTAGTCTCACAAAACACAAACAAGAGAAGAATGTCTTTGAGGACCACCTCTGACAATTGCCAAAGTGTCTCTCAATATCATATTTAAACTGCGTTTAAAAAAAATCAGGTGGCAACTGTGCAGAATATTGCTAATAGGTCAAATACAGTATTACTTCAATGACAAACATATAAACACAGATTAAATGTGTCATTACCTTATGTGTCCCTTCCCTAAGGGTATACCAGTAAACCCTTGAGGAACTAAAAAAACAAATGAAAACCCCCTCCACACACAATATATGTAAGTATATTTAAAATATATTAAAATATATGCATATGTGCAGTCAAAATGTACAAACCAACAGTCATAAAATAAATAAGCACTAAGGATGTAATGTACAACACGATAATTAACACCGCTGCACATTATATTTGAAAGTTATTAAAACAGTAAATATTAAGAGTTCTCATCATGAGGAAAAATATTTTTTCTTTTTCTTTAATGTTGTATCTGTAGGAGATGATAGATGTTCACTAAACCTATTGTGGTAATCATTTCATGACGTATGTAAGTCAAATCATCAAGTTGTACACCTTAAACTTACATAGTGCTATATGTCAGTTATATCTCAATAAAACCGGGGCGGGGGCGATGTTACGTAGAAAACTGTCCCTTGAAGAATTCTCTGTAACAGGAACAAACTGTAACAACTATAAACAATTAAAATATCTAAAAGAGGTTTTGTTAAATATATCTGTTATTACACTGGGATTGTAAATGGCTATTAACAATAATTGTGCAAATATATGTTAACATGAAAAGATATTCACAGTATATTAAGTGACAGCAAAGCAAGTTTTGGGAAAATATATGTGATACTTCTGTGTATTTCTACATGCAGGCACAAATTTATACATGTGTGTATAGAAAAAAATCTGAAAGCAGATATGGCAAAATGTAAACAGTGAATATCTCTGCATGTTTGAATTTCAAGTGATTTTACATTATTTTTTATTTGAGGCATTTTTATTTTTAATATTTCTTTTATTAGATGAAAATGTATTACCCATGTGACAATTTTTATAGAACACGACTTGCTGGTCTGAAAGGCAGAAATGTTGACATTGTTAACTTATATTATTTGATTCCTGATGCAGTTGAAGAACTGTCCCCAGTATGTTTCCTTTTTTCTTTTGTGATCTATATGCTCACAGATTTTACAAATTTATTATTTTAGTTTTTTCCTTTCTTGTAGTGTTTAGAAGTCTTCATATATTTAAATTAATAAAATTGGTTTCTCATTAAACATATACATATATATATATATAAGTGTGCATACATGCAATCTTGTAATATGAGTACTAAATGAGTGGTAAAGAGAGAATAACTAAAAGAAACTCAGAGTAAAAAGCAAACCACCTGGGAAACCTCTGAAGAGAAACTAGGACATGAGCTTGGCCTTAAAGCATGGTTAGATCTTAAGTGAATGAAGAAAGGAAAAAAATACCAATCACAGAAATGGTGGGTGAAAAAAATGAAGACAGGAATACATGTGACATGTTTGAGAATAAGCAGAATAGGCTGGCTGAAATAGAGAACAGATTGGAAAGGGGACTAGGAGAACGCAGAATATCAAAATTGTTTGGACTTTATTCTCTAAATAATTTAAAGTTTTTGAGCAATCCAGCTATGTGAGCAGTGCTATTTTCACAATAATTTGCCAGGGTGTGAAGGACAGACTGAAGGGGAGAACAGAGGCAGAAAGAACAACTACTTCACAGAAACTTCTTACCAACACCTCAGCTAACAAGATATTTTAAGACTTGATGACACACATTGTACTTGCCTATTTAGACACCATGCCCACTCACCACTTAATGCACTTATATTCAGGCCTCACAAGCAATCCCTATAACATTTACACTAAGTTTCTGCAGTAAAGTTAAGAGTCAGCTTGGGGTTTCCTGTAAGATAATTGATTCCTTTACAACTACCAAAACTCTACAGATCATTCATATTGACTTTAACAACTCTGTGAGAAACAAATATAGTTAGCCTGAATTTTTCAGCTGCTAAGTGTTTATATTTCCATGGGTTGGAAGGAGTGAAATGCAGCTAAATGGACCACGGAAATAAAAATAGTACATTTCCAAGAGTTTTATTTTCAACACAGAGGAAAAGATCTGTTTCAAAATAAATGTGTGCATTCCATTCCATATAGGTGTATAATCTTTATACTTATGCTTTACACTTGCATATAACTTTTTTTTAAATTGAAGTATAGTTGATTTACAATGTTGTGTGAGCTGCAGGTGTACAGCAAAGTGATTCAATTATGTACATATTTTTTTTCATATTCTTTCCCATCATAGGTTATTATAATATATAACCTTATATAATACTTATATGTAATCTTTATACTTTATGCTTTAGTTCATGAACTAAAGCAGAGATTATGGAAGCACAGATATTACAAACAATAACAAAAAAGCCATCAGGGAAAAGAAAAAAAACAGAAAGAAAAAACACACAAGTTGCAATGTGAAAAGGCTTGGGTCTCAAATTTTCAAAAACAGTCCCAGTCTGAAGCATCTAACAAGTCTGCAAATTGAAAAATACTGTTAAGCTTTTGGAATGATGAGAACCCATTTTTTATGGAAATGTATTTATCTGTTCTGCTAAAAGATCTGAATTGCTATCATGTTATAAATTTAATTAAAATCACCTCTGTTTTGATAATTTCCAAATACAAAAATAAGAACTAGAAATTACTCCTGAAAATTATTAAATATATAAGAGCAATTACTCAAAAGTGGCTACTCTTGTAAAATAGCTGGTACAATCTGCAATTCTGTGCACATTTCATGCCAACTAATGTCAGAGAGCATATGGGGCCATCTGCCGTAGATCTTCCCTCAATCTCTATTTTATATGGCAGGACATGTTCACTGCAGGAGAACAGGGCTTCATGAAGTTCATTTGCCAGTGGAAACTCCTGCACAGACAATAAATGTCTTTCCCTCAACAAGCACACTTTCCGTTAACTAATGATAACAGCAGCAAACGTTTACTAGATCTCAGTATGGGTTAGGCATCACCCTAGACAATTTACCCCTATGATCTCATTTAGTCCTCACACTACTGTATAAGGTAGGAAATGTTGCAATCGCATTTAAAAGTTTTAAATCTCTACTTTATAGATGAAGAAACTGAGGCAAAAAGTTTGTT